CTTTGTAAAGCTGCTCCTGCAGAGAACATACGTCTCTTCTTAAATGCACCCTTGGCATGGGGAGGGGGTGTCAGCAGGAGTTTGCCCCAGGTGGACCCCTGAGGGGCCAGTGGTCTGGCCGGGAGCAGGGGCTTGGCCTGTCCTAGTCACGGTCACCTACTGACCCCCATTTCTCTCTGGCTGTGGCCCTGGGTGTTTGGTTACCAGTGCGTGTGCTTGGCTGGAGGCCTGGAACACACTGGTGTTAGCCTGGAGCCGAGTATCGTGGCTGACGAACCACGGGAGAACGTAGCAGGACTGGGCGTCAGGAAACCGGAGATCTTGCCCCAGCTCTGCTGCAGACCTGCTGTGTGAACTTGGGCAAGTCGGCACCCTCTCTGAGCTTTGGTTTCCTGTCTGTAAAGAGAGGATTCTGGACCACGTCCCGTTTCACCTGAAAAGGCCCAGCTGTGGGCGTGACGGCCCTGAGGAGGATGGCACGTGGGGCCTGGGCTGCCCTGTGATGGTTTGGAGAGCTGAGAGCTGCGAGCAGGCAGGGGCTTGAAACCCAAGAAAGCATTCACAGCCTCTGAACACAAGGGGCTCCATGCTGCTCCCTGGGGTTGATTACCTTCCTGTTCCTTCTCTGGAAATTACTACCTGACCTTGCAGCCCCAGTTCAGACATCCCTCCTTGGCGTCTCTGAATCCTCAGCACCTGGCACATAGCAGGCCATCGGTGATGTGGCTTCCTGTCTCTTTCCTGGACATTGATGCCAGCTACCGTGCCCACTCTTGTCTGTGTCCCGTCCCAGCATGTCCTACCCCTGTTGCAGGGTTGGAGGTGATGAGTGAAATATTTGAGGTGGACGTAGAGGTTGGTTGAAGGTGAATTGACTGTGGGACCCCGGCTGTCCTTTGGCAGTGCTGGGTCCCTGCCTTGCTTCCTCTTTGTGCTTGGCCCGCCGAGGAGGAGTAAAGGGCCTGCCTTTTATCCTTTTTGGATCCATCCGTTTTTGCTTGAACTATATGCATTGGGCCTTCTCCTTGATATGAGGGTTTTTTTAAAATAACAGAATCAAGTAAACTAAAAAGCACACAGTAGAACCCAGTCCTTCTAAATTCAGGATGTACATGTGCTTGCTGGCTTCATAGATTTTTCAGCGAGAATCTCTCATTTCATCCCTTTGATTAGATTGGTGGGAAGTGGAACTTTTGGGCTGTGAGGTGTGGGAAATGGAAGGGCTGCGGGGTTAGAATTGAGAAGAAACAGGGTCTTTCTTGTCCTGCCGTGGTCTCAGGGACTTGGGTTCTCATTTCCCTAAGTCCCTCCCACATCAAAGATGTTTGGATCTGGATCATTAATAAGAACCAGAGTTTAAGATACATTTGAACAACGGGGGAGGCAAGAGAGTGAGCTCTTTTTAGAGAAACAGCTTTCAACAATTTTGTAAATAAAAGCTGATAGACCAGTTTGGGTTCTTTCCAGAAATTTTATTCCCAAGCTATTTATCTCAGGTTCCTATTTTAAGTTTGTTTCTGGCAAAAGAAAAATAAAGGCACTCAACTACTTTCTGTTCTCTAGTAGGAAAATCTCAAACTTCGGGCGATCTGGGGCAGTAGGTCAGTCAGTGAATACATATTTATGGAGGGTTTACTCTTCCTACAGTGGGCACTGTGCTGGGTGTTTCAGGAAGTCACGGAGAGATACGGGGCTATGATCTTTATCAAGAAGCTACAAATTTGTTTGCAAGAAGAGAAATTTGTGTTAAAAACCCCAACTAGAGCAGCGTGAAGAGGTTTCCACTGATCCAAGCTGGGGACAGTCTGAGCATCAGAAAATAAAGATTGCAGTGGGCCAGAACACTTCAAATATAAATATATGAGATTATGGTGATGATGATGAGCTCAAAACTTCACTGATCATGATTGGGGTATGGGAATCAACACATTGTTTCAAAGATTTGTAAGGGAAAGAATTTTTAAAAACATAAGCTATACCAGGCAATCAGTTGAGAAGCCCAGAAGGAGGGGTGATAGGAAGTTTGTACTTCTTGGTGCTGGAGTGTGAAGCCCTGCTGTTTGTTTCTCCTCTGTGTCAGGCTGGCTGACTGCCGGTGACGAGAAGACAGGTTCCTCTTTGCCACAGGTGACCACGGGCTGGAAGGTAGCCTGCAGAGTGAGCAGAGGGTGGAATTTACCCCTGCGCCACCTCTTACCAACTGTGTGATCTTGGGCAAGTCTGTAATCCCTCTGAATTTCACCGAATTTGTTCAGTAGATAATAGGGATGATAACATTAAGACCTCATAGTGTTACCAAGTTAACTTGAACGAAGGCTTAAAGGCCGCCTAATAGGCATTAACTGAAAGGGAATTCCCCCCTCTCCCGCCCTTTGGGTGTTCACTTAGAGCAGTATGGGCACTATTTCCGGGGCACCATGTGGCTCCCAAGGTGACTTTGGCCTTTGCGTTCCTGTTTCTCTCACCCAGTGGAGTGACCTCAGCCCCAGATGCCTGCTGTGGCTGTCACTACCTTCCAGAGCCACACTGGAGCTGCTACGACTGGACCACCAACTTTGAAACAGTTAGAGAGGAGCATGTGGTTTGAAAGGAACTCTCCTTCACCATTAACCACATGAGCTAGAATTCTAACTGGAGTGACCTAGACGGTGTGACTGACCCATCTCTGAAGTGGAATTTTAAAAATCTAAAACGTGGACCCCTGGTTTGGGCTAGGGAAGCTGTTCTTCTTCGTGAAGAAACATCAGTACAGAGCAGAACAGTGGGCTTTGAGTGAGACGCACTTGGATTTGAAGCCCGGCTCGGCGGCTTGCTGGCCCTGTTGCCCAGGACAACTCATCTGATCTCTCTGAGCCCTGACTTATTTTCACCATGATGAGAAAGAATTCATAGATCTTATAAAGTTGTTGTGAGGTGTAGAAAAAGCATACGCTGTCTGTGCTCCCTAGAAATGACATCCATGCCGCTGTTCAGTACCGTGTGTCCTGCCGGATGTGGCTGAGTGTGGCTGAACTCGAGTCCCCATGCTTTTCTTTGATTCTTACCTTAACCTTGTGAGTCTGTCTCATGGCGGATTTCTAGCCTTCACGTGGCTTAGACATTTGGCCCTTTACCCACCGGAGTCACGTACTCCCTGGAAGGCATGGGCCTGGAACCCAGATCTGGGAGCTCTTCCGGCTCTGGTGCACATTCTTCGGGGCCCGTGTGTGCGTTTTTCTGTCTTATTTGCTGAGTGTGGTCTCAGAAACGCATTTAATTTATCCAGAACTCTCAGGTACTTTTCTGAAATGTCAAAGAAAAAAACAAGGAAAAGGGCTTCAACAGTGAAATTAATTTTCTCTTCTGTTTGTGAGACCCACGTTGGAATCCCCGAAGGTCAGCACTGGAGGTCTAGGGCATAGCACCTCCCTGGTAAGATGGGTGGGCACGGCGTTCGTGGATCATAGGAATCTGGCTCAGGGTCAAGGGCTGTCCATCACAAACAAATGTTTCCCCCGTTTCCCCCGGTTACCAGGCCCAGGAATTGGCATTGGCTGACAGCGGTTTTATTTACCCGAGGAAGTATCTGATGGCATTCACATACAAGTTTACGCTGCATGTCTGTCTGCCCTGTTGTGCCTACAAAATAGTTGTGTTACATTTCTCGTTGAAACGAGGAAAACATAGAAATCAGGTGCCTGGGGCACCTGGGTGACTCAGGCTGCTAGGCGTCTGCCTTCAGCTCAGGTCATGATCCTGGGGTCCTGGGTTCGAGTCCCACATCGGGCTCCTTGCTCAGTGGAGAGCCTGCTTCTCCTTCTGCCTGCCACTCCCTTTACTTGTGCTCTCTCTCTCTGACAAATAAATAAATAAGAGCTTAAAAAAAAAAAAAAAGAAATCAGGTGCCTGATGCAAACAATAGTTGTTTTATCATGGACTGGCTGGATTCACTTAAAATTTTATGTCCGACCTAAAAATGAGGGGATTATAGTCAACCACATTAACTTACTAGAATTACCTGCCCGCCCCCTGCCCCGTTTCTGAGTTAGAGATCTGAGGCAGGATGGTGGCTCCTAACAGTCTGATAAGATCCATGTATGATTTTGATGTCCAAAAGGGATTGGGAACCACAGAGCTGGAGACCCAGAATCCAGGATTCTGCATGTTAAAGGTGCTGTTTTAAGGCCTAATCATAGTAAAATGCTGTCAGATGGATGACAAGCGTTTGCTTTTTTGTTGTTATTCCGACAACACGTGTGTTGTCTTATATTTCAGGCACAAAGACAAGTAAAACTTAGTCCCTGTCCTCTAAATACTTCTAATATCGAGAAATACATTACCAGACAATTTCAATGTCCATGCTGAGAGCAAGGACAGGAAAGCGCCAAAACCAGATACCAGGGGTACAGGGCAGAGTCATGGAAGGCTTCCTGGAGGAAGGAAACATCTGTGGGATGTATAGGAGTCAGGCGCCTGAGCAGAGGATGCGTCTGAGCCGTAGCACAGAGGCGCTCAGTTGACCTTTGTGGCCCCAGCCTATGCTCCGAGGTCCCCAGCTCTTGCTGCATGGAGAGGAGAGCTGTGGCAGGTAGCTCCTGGTTAGGGCTGTGAGCCTCACACTAGAGAGGAGCAGGCGTCTCTTGCTGAGTTTCTAGGAGAGGGCTGAGTCCATTGGCTGGAATGGTGCCTCCTGCCATCATGTAGGCCACGGAGGAGTCCTAGGAGATGTGGGAGGCATCGGAGTACCCTTGGAGCCTCATCTGATGCGCTGGAGACTGGGGGGCTTGTGCGAGGAGGCTCTTTCTGTTCTGGTTGTCGTGCTCCTTCCTTGGGACCCGTTGCCAACGCATCGGGACATTGTCAGGACAGCAAAGTGATTTCTGTTTCTGGTGCAACTTGACTTTTTTCAGATCTGTATCCTGCTAATGTGTTCAGTTTTATGCACAACTTAGGGAGAAGCTGTTAAGGATGGGGACGGAGAGGTTGCTATACTAACGGTATGTCTCCCACTGCTGTTGTAGCTCATGTGGAAAACGAGGAGCAGTACACCCAGGCTCTGGAGAAGTTCGGGGGCAACTGTGTGTGCAGAGATGACCCAGATTTAGGAAGTGCATTCCTGAAGTTCTCGGTGTTTACAAAGGAGTTGACAGCACTTTTCAAAAACCTGGTAAGTGTCTTCACGCACGTGCAGCCGTTGGGCCGTGTGTTAAATACCTGCGGTTCCCTTAGTCGGAAAGGTAGATAGCCAAGGTGTGTCTGATCAGCTGCGAATAAATTTCAAAGCTCATGCGGTGCCTAAAGGAATTAAATTTTCTATACCCATTAGGTCACTTTGGAATAAATTTTAGAATTGTAATTTTTAAGGTAACACGGCTTTTTAAATTCAAGACAGCATTTTAAATGTGCACAGCTGTGGACAAAATGGATAAATGCATTCATCTTCTTAAGGGCCTCTGACTTCAATTTTTAAGTTTCTAAACTGTGTAGAATCGTCTGTTTCTGGTAATTATGGGAGGCATTTAAACTTACAGTATTTAATAAATATGTTCCGGGCCTGTCTTACACAGCAAGGTAACCTATAATCAAAGCACAGAAATTGCCATGAATATTTAAAGGCCTTTTATGCTCCCAAATGCAGAGCCTAAAAAAAGTCACTTTTTAAGCAAGTGGGAACATGGAGTTGGGACTTCTTGCCTGCGGTAGGTGCTGGGTAACGTGGGTGAATGGGGTTCTTTCTTGTGCTTGGCAGCTCTGTGCCTTCCACATTGTGGGAACAGAATTCTGAACAAGTGTGACCCTGCTGCCTGGCTTCTTCCACAAGGGGAATATGCACTGGGATGGCCCTAGCCTCCCTTTCCTGTTTTTCTCCCCCAGCTTCTAAAGATCATGGGTGACCAGAGCAGGTCAAGGTCGCAAACAGCAGCGCTATTCTCATTTCTCCTGTCAGCAAGCAAATAACAAGTGATAAAGTAGCTCATCGTTCTTGAAATGGTGATGATGGAGGGTTTGTACATCTGGCCTTGATGGGGCAGAAAGAAGGGAACATTGTGTACGCGTTAATAACGGGGAAGGGAAAGAACCAGATCCTTAAGGCTCTGGGTCTCTCTCCCCATCTTCACTTGTAAAAAATTTCAGTTGGAAGTGGTAAAATTAAAAAGCCGTTACTGTGCTTAAGTTTTTTACTCAGGCTCATTTGCAATCTCTTGGGGGCTTTTATGGAGTTCGTCACCCATTTCTTCCTGCTCCAAACAAGCTGGCAGTGAGCGTCCTGACTGGGGAGCCCTAGCCCCCCGTCAGCCCCCGCTCCCTGGACCCTGGCAGACATGCTCATTAGGCTCTCACCACTGAGTTAGATTGGAGCGTTTTTTTTTTTTTGACCTGGAGAAACTGAATGGCCCCAGGGAAGACCTGTGGAGGGCTTCTTGGGACACAGTCAGCCTGCATCCCACTCTCCCAGCCCCTCAGTGGGTCGGCCCCATCCCGGCTCTGGGCACCTCACTCCTAAGTTTGAGCGAACAGCCTCCAGAGTGAAAGAGACCAAAATAAGCAGAGAAAGGACTTAGAGGAAACAGGGTATTGCAAATAGCAGAAGAAAACTTTAAAGAAACTACGTTTCATTCCTCTGAGAGACTGGAGTAGATGTATCAGAGGGAAGGAGTAGGGATGCAGCTATGGTTAAAGAAAGGGGAAAGACAATTAATGTAAGAAAATACTAAAGCAAAAATCCAGTGACATGATTGGGATAGAAGTCTGTCAGAAAATAGACCAAAAAACAAAGCAAACCAGAAAAAAAGTGGAAAACAGATAGATGAGGATTAATCCTTAAGGCCCATCATTCAGCGGGCAGGTTCCTCAGAGAGAATGGAAGACAGGAGGACAAGATGATCCCTGAAACCCAACCACTCTCGTCTCCCGACTGAAGGCTGGTCAGAGCCCAGAACAGGGAGGGAGGAGGCCCCAGGCATATCTCCGTGTGAAATGGCGAACAATATCTTCACACTTCCAGAAGGCACATGGTGGATTAGGAATCAGTGGTATTGGATGCCTCACCGGTAACACTGGAAACTTTAAGGCATGGAGCAAGGCCACTAACATCCTGAGGAACAGAATTCCAACCTGGAATTACAGCCAGCCGAGCATGAGAGTAGAGTTAGAGACATGCGAGGCTCAAAAAGTTTAGCTCCCGTGCGTCATTTCTCAAACTTCTAAAGGGTGTGCTTTAGCGAAATGAAGAGGAAAGCCAAGAAAGAGGAAGAGGTGTGAGTCAGGAAACAGGATTGGGCCAGAAGGGAAGCGGCGGGAAGGATCCCTGCAGGATGAGCAGCAACCCCCCCCCCCCGCAACCAGGCAGCTCCTCTTTCCTCTCCATTCAGCTCCTCTCCAGACCTGGCTTTTCTTAGCTGTAGAATGGAGGTCATAGAACCATACCTGGTTTTGTGTATAGACTCCAGCCAATTGCTTTACACTCTTTTTTTATTTTATTTTTTTAAAGATTTTATTTATTTATTTGAGAGAGAGAGAATGAGAGACAGAGAGCATGAGAGGGAGGAGGGTCAGAGGGAGAAGCAGACTCCCCGCCGAGCAGGGAGCCCGATGCGGGACTCGATCCCGGGACTCCAGGATCATGACCTGAGCCGAAGGCAGTCGCTTAACCAACTGAGCCACCCAGGCGCCCGCTTTACACTCTTAATTTACTTAATTTTTACAGCAGCTCCAAAGAGGGAGTCCGGATTCTCCCTGCTCTGTAGATTATATAACTGAGGAGGCTCTGGGGCCTTTAAAGAGCTTGGCGTGGCCCCTGTTCGTGTGCCTGCAGGTGGAGGAGAGCCCACCTTAGCACTCCACCCGGTGGAGTCCTCAGGAGGCCAGCCTGCACTTGCTTATGAACACGAGCCGCTGCACATTTAAACGAAACTGTCCCTTCTTTTCTGGATTTTCTGCAAAACTGAAGGCCGGGCAGGTCGGGACCTTGCAAAGGCTGCTTGGCCACTTTGAGCACTGCAGGATCCGGGAATCCGGGCCAGGCCCAGGTGCTGCTCCCTTTTCCACGGTGGTTACTGAGCACCCATGGTGTGGCAGGCCTCGGGATAGGCATGAAGGGGACACTCGCTCCGTCCTCCTGACCGCTAGGCGGTTCAGCTCCTGCTACCTTCGTCTGTCCATAAGTGACTTCCCGGGTCCGTAGTGAGCGAGCGACAGAGTTGCCATTCAAATCCGGCTCTTAAAACGCCAAATCCATACCGTGTCCATGGTGGTATTTAAAGAAATTAAGGTTTCTGATCAAGTCTTCTGGAGGGAAAAAGATGGAACAGGAGGGACGGTGGTGCGGGGAAAGCGTCAAGTAAGACGCAGGCCAGACGGAGCTGCAGTGGCCACAAGGCAGCCTCAGGGCCTCAGTTTCCCTCATGGTGGGAAAACCAGGCCCACTCAGGGCCAGCATCAAGAGGAAAGCAGTGAGTGGGGAGGGTTCTTTGTCAGCTACAGCCCAGGACGCGAGTGACACCCTCGTGTCGTTAGAAGTCCTAGTGGTAGTAGCTTTGAGTCCGGGCGCTTTCCTTTGCTTTCAGCTTTAATTTATGGAGTTAGGGTTGTTGATCCTGTCTCTGGCAAAGATCAGAGAGAGGGAGAAAATCTCTTACTTGTGCCAAAGTTAGGTTCACCAGGCCTGATTTTCTGGGCTGGTGCCATTGGCGAAGCTGCCCAGCCACCGGAGCGCGGAGTGGCCGCTTCTGAGAAGCTGTTGCTGAGAGCCAGCCGATTACAGGAGAATTCTCCTTTTTTGGTATCTTGTATACCATTCTTATTCCTATTTTTGGGCACATCTGTCCTATCTCTTATTTTTAAAGCCTTGCTTTTACTTTCTCTCAGGCAGTTAAAAACATTTCCGTTTTGGGTGGCTAGGATTGTCAATTCTTCCCTTGTCCAGAAAGAAGAATTACCACCTACCTGCTTTGCAGTGTGAGAGGGTATTTATAAAGCAGTTGGAACATCTCCAGAGAAAGGCCAACTTAACATAAAGTGAGATTTTTTTACTAATGGGTGAGATTCTCACCTTCAGAGAACCGATGAATTTTCTCTGCAGTTATGCAGGATCAGGGGAAAAACAAGGCAGCTCCAGAAATGTAACATGTGTGAAATTAAATTGGTTATAAAGTCAGCCCAATTTCTTAGGTTCTTTTCCTCTTACCAGATGGATGTGAGGATCCTGGAAAGATTTTCCAGGGATCACTTCTGTGCTGAGAGGTAGCTTTTTAACGAGTGGCTGCATTAGAGGATACATTGCTGAAAGGTCATTCCCAGAGATGCAGTCCCTGTCTTGGTTTCAGAGAATTGGGGGTGATACATACGTGCTCCCCATCCACAGAGCTGCCCCAGGTGGAAAGAGGGCCAGCAGATGCCCAGGGAAGGATGGAGTTCCGGTGTGAGATCTGGGGGCGACCCTGGGGTTCAGGAAATCTCACTTCACTCTCATCGAAAGAGGAGTTTGAAAATTCCACCGACCAACATGCACCTAAGTCATGAACTTACTTTACGCAAATTACATTACATTACAAGATATTCTAGCAGGAGAGTAAAGCACTAGTGAGGTTCTGTTGGGGTGTGGGGCAGCCTGCGGCCTTGCCCGTGTGAGGTGGGCCGAGCCTGGCAGAGAGGCGTCCCACCCTGCTGTGTGGGTAACAGAACAGCCGTGTTCTCCAGCCATACCCTCCGTGTCCGGCAGGAGGGTGAGCTCAGTCTCCAGACTAACAGAGCGTATCTCATTGCTTCAAGTATGGGAGCGTCCTGCCGGGAGTCTTCACCCTCAGTACTTACACCTACTTCTCTCTCTCTCTTTTTTAAGATTTTTTTTATTTCTTCATTTGAGAGAGAAAGAGTGTGCGCACAAGCGAGAGAGAGCATGAGAAGGGGGATGGGGGGAGGGAGAAGGACAAGCAGACTCGCCGCTGAGCAGGGAGCCTGACACGGGTCTCGATCCCAGGACCCGGAGATCATGACCTGAGCCGAAGGTAGATGCTTAACCAGCTGAGCCACCCAGGCGCCACACGTACTTCTTCTCTTTTAACTTCATTTATTGAAAATGTCATAAATTAAAATGTTTTACACCGATCATAATTTTCTCTTTTTGGGAGGAAGACTTACCATTGTTTGGGGCGTATATTAATGAAC